CTGCTGCAGTGAGGAAACACAACTGGGAAACGCCCAGAAAGAATCCCGCTGCACACAGAGCTGGAAGCTGGGCCCGGTGGGTGAGATGTATGTATGTTACCCAGTTAGGAGAACCTTTCTGCCCTCTCTTCTTGGTGGGCATCCTTTCCTAATCTAGAAGGCTCTGTTTATTCAGAGTGCCCCAGGATAGAATAATCTGATCCTTTTGATTTTATGAGAATACAGTAATACCTTCATCACAGGCTCACGAGCTTTAATTTATTTACAACGATGTAGTGACGTGAGCCATGCTGGGCTCGGTAAAAAGCTAAAATCGGTGTGTTCATATTCGATAAAAAAAAAATGTATGCAAAATTTTCAGTGGATATTTTCAAAAGTCTAATTTTATGCACAGAATTTAAAATAATGCAGATCACCCCACATTCTAAAGTCTGTCAAGAGCCACATAATTTCAGAGCTGGCAGGCTGAGCGTGTGTTCGCAGTATGATCTGTTGCCACACGTGGGCACCGGTTTGCCTGGGAGACAGATGCCCGCCTTCCGTCGGCCTCGGCCAGGGGATCCATGCGCACCAGGACTCCACAGATGACTTTGGTGACCCCTGCAGTGTCATTCCAGGGCCACTTGGGTGTGAGATCTGAATGTGGCCCTGAGGATCCTGAGTTTCAGTCTGAATTTCAGCTTCCATAGGTTTTAGGCACATCCAGCCACAATGGCTTTGGAAATCTAAGTCCCCACCTTCACTGTCGTCACAACTTAGAGTATCTGTATCTTGTAACGTTACAGTGGTCCCTCCTCAGCCGTGTTTTTGCTATCCATGGTTTCAGTTACCTGTGGTCGACTGTGGTCCAAAAATATTAAATGGAAAATTCCAGAAAGAAACAATTCATATGTTTTTAATTGGGTGCTCTTCTGAGTAGGGTGTTGAAATCTCCCACCATCCTGCTCCCACTGGGGACGAGAATCATCCCTTTGTCCCACCCTTTGGCCACTTAGTATCCGTCTCACTTACGGATCTACTATCGTGTTATCGGAGTGCTTGTGTTCAAGTGACCCTTAGTTTACTTAACAGTGGCCCCAAAGCACAAGGTAGTGATGCTGGCAATTGGGATGCGCCAAAGAGAAATCATAAAGTGCTTCCTTTAAGTGAAAAGGTTAATGTTCTCAACTTAGTAAGGAAAGAAAAAAGATCGTATGCTGAGGTTGCTAAGATCTCTGGTAAGAACGAATTTTCTCTCCATGAAATTGTGAAGAAAGAAAAATTTGTGCTAGTTTTGCTGTCGCACCTCAAGCTGCAAAAGTTATACCCACAGTGCATAATAAGTGCTTAGTTAAGATGGGAAAGGCACTAAATTTGTACAATATGGTATTTTGAGAGGGATTGCATTTACAAAACTTCTGTTACAGTATATTTTTATAATTGTATTTTACTATCAGTTATTGTGGTTAATCTCTTACTGTGCCTAATTTATAGATTAACCTTTATCATAGGTCTGTATGTACAGGGGAATAACATAGTATATAGAGAGTTTGGTAGTATCCTGGGTTTCAGGCATCCACTGGGGGTCTTGGAACATCTACCCCACAGAGAAGGGGGGACGGCTGTAGTGTAATGTCTGACGTGCACTGAACATTTATGTGCTGGGAGCCGTTCTAATCCCAAGAACTCAGTGAAGTGTGAGTACTGCAGCTGCCCCGTTTTAAAGGTGGAAAACCTTGACACAGAAGAGTTAAGCATCTCATCCAAGGTCACTCAGCAGCTGCATGGGACCAGGATTCATACCCAGGCAAGCTGGCGGGGATCGGCCCTTCCCCCGATGTCACCGTCCTCTCCCAGGTAGACTGAGTATCCACCCCAAACCCTCAGCTCCGGAAGAAATCAGACCCAGGAAACGGTACAAAGAAGGCAAAACAACCACCACGAAACACTCCACCATGCCTCCCCTCTCTCGTGTTACTATGGAGAATTCGTCTTGCCTTGTGTTGATTTTGAATAAAGCCACTTCCGTGCATAGAGTGTCTGCCTGACCTCAGGAGCTTAGAGCGGCACCTGTCACTGAAGGCACATTGTCGTCCTCTCCCACCAGCTCTGCGCTGTAGGTATTGTCACCTCCAGTCGTGTCGTAGCGATGGCAGCTGGTTATTGCAAGCTCCCTGCTCAGGGCCTCCCTCCCTAACCTAACTCACGTCTTTTAGAGCAGGAAAACTCAACTTCCCGGCTTTCCGACTCACGCTGTAAAGCTGAGAGTAGTAAAAATGTTATCCGTGGTCAGCATGTGAGTAGTTCTGGCGGGGCTCCCCCAAACTGGGGCTGCCGGCACACAGGCAAGAGTCCTCCCCTAGGAGGGGATCTCACCCAGCCGGTGGGGGGGGGGGGGGCACTCTGGCATCCAGAGCCTGATCCCCACCAAGCTCTGCTCAGCCTTCCGGAAATCCATCCTCCACCTCCCTCCAAACAAATAGATTGACTTAATGGGGACAAAGAATGAATTCCAAAGCCACTGAGAGCATAAAGCCGCCTGAGTGCAAGTGCACGGCACCCAGCCGGCTCCCTCCCTGCCTTGAGTGGTGACCTCAAGGCCATCTTTTTTTTTTTTTTTTAACATCTTTATTGGGGTATAATTGC